GGGGGGGGGGAGAGAGAGTAACAGCAGTAACCAGGTTAACCAGGTTAAACATGGTCCAGTTTTGAACAGTTTACTTCAGTGAAATTATTAATGTAGTTTTTATTTGGTGTAAAAATCTTCTGACTGATGTGTGCGTTGTGATTGGACAGTCTGCTCCTTGATGACAGTCTGTGGTTGGAGGTCAGGTTTCTCTTTCGTCTTCTTCACTGTATGTAACTTTATTTTTCATGGCCACAGGAGGCGCTGCAGCCCTTTTTTTCAATTTCTACTGCTATGAATGTGACTAATCTATAAATATTTGGAGACGATTTATTGTGAATTATAGATTATTAAATTGCTCCCATAATCCCCCACGGTGCCAATGCAAATATCACTGGATAATGACCAGGCCCAGAGAGAGGAGGGGGAGGAGGGGGAGCAGGGGGAGGAGATGTTTTCCCTCCATTGGTTTTTTATGTCACCTCTTCAGGGAACAGTCGTCATCAGCCCATGTCGTTGGCCACATCCATCAGAATGTTCTGTCTGCAGAGCAGTACACAGCAGTACACAGCAGTACACAGCAGTACACAGCAGTACACAGCAGTACACAGCATCACATATTACCATGTATATGCTGTATGTGTCTTCTGCGTTTTATCGTCCCTGCTGGCATACTCTCCCACCTTCAGTGGATGAACCCCCCCGTCACCCCAGGAGTCACCTGGAGGGGCTCTGACCTCTGACCTCAGGGATTTGAGCCAATGCTGAGGGCTGGTTTGATCTCCATTCAAAAAAAGGAGGAGGTAAGGAGGTGAAATGATGGAGCAGAGATGGAGTGATGAAGGGCAGACATGGGGGGGGGGGGGGGGGGGGGGGGAGTGATAAACGTGATTGGAATTCTAGAGGGTGAAGATATGAGCAGCAGAATGTAAAGGCTGATTCTTCTCCTCCAACAATTGAAGATACTACAGTACTACTGTAATACTGGTACTGGTACTGTCAGAAGAGGGGGGGGGGGGGGGGGGTCCACCAGGTTGAGGACAGCGTGTTGATGATTGTTGATACGCGGTTGCCAGATTGCTTTATTTCCATCCACAGGTCAACAACACAGTGTAACTGGATGCAGTGGTGCAGTGTGACTGGAATCAGTTTGACCTCAGTGACCTTTGGTCAGTACACCACCGCCACACAGTGACCATCGCACTACATCTGTTAGTTTAACGAGCGACTTGTCAGCAGTGACCTGGCTCAGACAGAGGCCGACAGTTAACGGGGGAGGAAGTCTCTTCCAGGTGACGTCCTGCCCCTGACTGGAGCCACGGCTTCAGCCACTAACAAAGAAGGAGTGACCGTCATAAATCCTGGTGATGAAACCAAAGAAGCACAGCTGCTATTATGAAGGGAAACTAAGGATGACATAAGAAACGACAGATGACAAGTTAGGGTTAGAGGGAACAGGAAAAACAAACAAAAAACAAGAAAATTCTTCCCAGACCATTTTTTAGAATCTGTGCTGAAGTGTGAAGAGTCTGAGGACGACAACAGAGCAGACAACCATCTGTCCATTAGTCAGGAGTCCAGGCCTGCTGGCTGGGCAGACTGAAGCAGGAACAGAGCTGGAGGCGGTGTCAATCGATAACCAATCACTAACCTTGTCTGTTTGACATGGAAGGATGTTGTAGAAAGTATCTCCCAGGGTGGAGCAGCTCCACACCAGCCTCCACTCTCTCAGCCTTGCTGCTCCAGGAACAGTCACGTTGTACTGAAGTCTGGCACGTCGTCGGCGTGGGAGCAGCAGAGTATCGTTTCCACTCATGAAGCAGTAGGTGTTACCTTCAATGCCCTCTTTTATTTCCTTCTGATGCGTCAATACATTTGTTCATGGTCATTTATCTCCAGGTTGATTTGTAAATGTCAGGACAAATCTGAACTAACAGAACACTGCAGTCACTTCTCTGTTCTCTGTCTTCAGTTCCAAGCGACTGCTGTTGTGTGGACCACTGTGGGAACAGTCCCTGGGGTAGAGAACCATAAGACGTTCACTGTAACTTTAAAACACGTCCTGATAGGATTCAACTGCTGATACTGCTGATATTCTAGTTCCACGTTCATGTCTTACAACAGCCATATTCAGGTAGTGGCCCAGAGTGGTCCTGGCTGTGGTCATATAAACAACAGGGAGTGAAAGTAGACGGCAGACATGGCTGGAGCAGTGAAGTACAGTGAAGTACAGTGAGGGACAGTGAGGTACAGTGAGGTACAGTGAAGTGCAGTAAAGTACAGTGAAGTACAGTAAAGGACAGTGAGGTACAGTGAAGTACAGTAAAGGACAGTGAGGTACAGTGAAGTACAGTAAAGGACAGTGAGGTACAGTGAAGTACATTAAAGTACAGTGAGGTACAGTGAAGTACAGTAAAGGACAGTGAGGTACAGTGAAGTACAGTGACGTACAGTGACGTACAGTGACGTACAGTGACGCACAGTAAAGTACAGTAAAGTAGAGTAAAGTACAGTGAAGTACAGTAAAGGACAGTGAGGTACAGTGAAGTACAGTAAAGGACAGTGAGGTACAGTGAAGTACAGTGACGTACAGTGACGTACAGTAAAGTACAGTAAAGTAGAGTAAAGTACAGTGAAGTACAGTGAGGTACAGTGAGGTGCAGTGAAGTACAGTGAGGTACAGTGAAGTGCAGTAAAGTACAGTGAAGTACAGTGAAGTACAGTGAAGTACAGTGAGGTACAGTGAGGTACAGTGAGGTGCAGTGAAGTACAGTGAGGTACAGTGAAGTACAGTAAAGGACAGTGAGGTACAGTGAAGTACAGTGACGTACAGTGACGTACAGTGAAGTACAGTGAAGTACAGTGAGGTACAGTGAAGTACAGTAAAGTACAGTGAGGTATAGTGAAGCACAGTACAGTACAGTGAGTACAGTGAAGTACAGTAAAGTACAGTGAAGTTAACGGCTGCTGAGGTCAGAGTTACAACTGTAAGAAGTGAAAAGAGCATCTTACTTCACTGTTCACCTCCAACATCATCACCTGCTCATGGTTCATATCCATCAACATTCCCCTTTCAGTGACACCAACACCAACATCAACACCAACACATCCACAGGAACACATCTGTTCTACAAAGAACGATTCTTTATAGAAATGGACAGAACTCCTTCCTGTGTCTAAGAAATTCATATTTACTGTAAACAAATTAAAGTCTAGAGATGAGATGAGAGCAGCACTAATTTAATTTAGACCTTCAGGAAAAATACAGTTCTTTTTTAAACTTTAAATTCTGCTGCTTTAATCGAAGGTTGTCCATCAAAATGAGAAGAAATAAAATATTTAAGGCCAAAACTTATCAAATATTGTTTTCTACTTACTCCCATCTTATTTTTAAAAACCATAGTCAGCCTTACCTTTACTTCTAGCTGAAGTCCGTGGTTGTGTCTCTCGGTTTCCCCTCACCTTAACATCGTCGAGGCTAATGTTTAGTCTCCGTTGTTCATCCGATGACAAATCGATCCTTGAATTTCCAGAAGTTTCTAAATAAATCTGTCTTTGAATGTTCGTGTCTGATCTTCCATGTCTGCTGAGGCTTCTTTGTAAATGTTTCAGGTCACAGTATTCCGAGTTCGTCCAGACGTTATCACACGACGACAATAAAAGACAAGGACAGCAGTAATGGCGGTTTCTGAC